CTCCTTGCATTCTAAAATATTGCGAGTATTTATGAATAGTTGAGGAATATTATTGAGATAAATGTATGTATAGCACATGTGTAATTACAGTGTATTTCTTGAATATAAAAGAAAAAGGTGGGGTTGGATGATGGTACGATAAAGCAAGATAGAAAAATAAGCATATGTTGATTGAAGTGAAGGATTAACGGCCGCCTAAGCTTCGTCTCTCAATTTCCTCCAGAGTCATCATTCCGCGTTGTTGAAGATTGGAATTGTTTGGGATTCCTGTTAAAGAACAAAACGTATTATTTACACGGACTAACCTATGACGACACAATTTCACGGAAAAACTTAGTCTTACCTGATATATTATTTGGTGCCATTGCATTGTTAACGAGGTTCGGAATAAATTGTGCATACCCGTGCATATTTGCAAATAGGGCTTCAGTGCCGGGAGGTAACATTCCAGGGTGATGATGTACTGAAAGATGTGGTATTGGGGCGCCAGTAAATTGAAGTTGTTGAGGATAACGTTCAGGTTGATGTTGAATACCATACGGTAAGGGGGGCATAGAGACGGGAATTGGAGGTGGTTGGAATTGAGGATGAATTTGTTGAGAAACGTTACGCGGTGGCAACATTCCGAACAATTGTTCTACTGGTATATTCCTTCCTACAGGTTGTGGATATTCTTGTCGATTATTTGAATGTTGGGGATTATTTGGTCCGTTAGAGTACGTAGGAGCCACGTTATGATAAGGAGAATGGTTATGACTTTGTTGATGAGGAAGGACGGGTGAACGAGGGGAAGGGGATTTAAAAATTGGCGCATGAATGTCATGAACATGTGCCGATGATTGTGGTGAGTGCGGAAAGTTGGAAATATTAGGTTTGGCATTGAATTTCAATGCCGGTGAAGATGCGGCTGATGATTCTCTGGAACCATTATCTGACCTGGAACTCAGCTGTCGATATACAGAAGTCGGTATGTTTCCTCCAAAGAGCATATTAATCTTTTTGACGGAATCAGACGGATGCAACTCTGAAAAACCTAAGTGTTTATTTGACATATCAACTTTAGGTGGGTGCTGACCTGACTTTGCCATCGGGTTTGATTTCTGTGTACTGACAATAGAAGGATCGTTAAAGGGTAATCCGGGTTGTACTATTGTAGAATGTTGTTGGGCTTGAGGTTGATTCAACGATGATGGAACATTTGGTAGAGTTTGCCTTAGCATTTCCGTCGACTGTAGTTTATGGTGGAATAAATTAATCTAATAATAAAATTTTGTTTAACGAGAAAAATAAAGCTTACGGGTCCTTTTTTTAAGGCCGCATATATTTTGTTCATGGCAGCCTCGTCTTCATAATTCCGTTCTTTATCCTCATTCTTATGAGCAGGTTTTGCGCCAAGAGTTTGTAAAACCTCATCTTCCGTTAACATTCCCGATAGCAATCGTGCGCCATCATTCGAAGTTATTCGGGGGGAGAGAGGTGCAGTCGCTTGACTTTGGAACAATGTATCAAGACTGATCGGTACAGGCTTTACCTCGTTCGATGTATTTTGAACTTGATTTTGCGTTGACATTGGGATTCCTGAATGTCTCCCATTATGATCGTTTTGTTGAGGGACTCTGTCATCATCATTATTGTTGTTGAAAAGCCTGGCAAAACGTGATGTACCCTGTTCACGGGGAGTAATCTCAGCAATTTTTGAGCTAACTTTTTGTACATTGTCCTCAGCCATAGCAAGGTTGTGTTGCGAGAGAAATTTATCGAAAGCAGAGGAATTGAGGTCAATTACACCAGGACCAAAGAACTGATCAACATTAGATAAATTTCGAGATGCTTCTTTAATTCAAATAAATGATTTCGACAATTAAATATATTTCGATTCCATTGTTATATATTATGTGATGGAGAATTTATACTATACCATCAAATTCGGACAAATTTTTTTCCTTTGAACTATTCTTCGATAAATCCTCAGTCGCCACAACTTTATTTCCTGGTCGCCAAGATGTACTACTGTCAGCCCGGGAAACACTTCGAGCTCTT